GGTAATATATACATAAATCTAATTTCAAAAGAAAGTTCGACAGATACAGCCTTAACTGTGCGCTTAAAAATTGAAAGAAACTAAAGTTCGCAATACAATTTTCTTCAGTTTTATACTTTTTATATGGTGGTTTTCATATTTCAATACTTTTTAAATATAAATTTAACAACATTTTGTTGTCATAAATGAAATAAATTAAATAGATACTTACAGTAAAACAGCAACACCAAGATCAAGTTTGCAGACCAATTTCGAGCAACACACTAAAAAACGGAAATGCGATACCGAAACGCGCACTAACGAAATTTTTACTTTAAAAAAATGATTATTTACATTAAATTAAAAATGCAATGTTGTAAACTGCTCTAAGTGACGAAACCACGAGTATTTCTTTGGTACATAAAATACTTAGTTTCGCGCATACGCAATAGCGTCGCTTCGGCTTTGCACCACAAGTAACGCTTGCTTTGAATAACAATCTATTTACGGTTTATTAGACCGACTTTTGAACTACAACATTAAAAACACTTGTATGAACATAATGCACACCCTTAAGTCTTTTTTGTACATTTTTATTCACTATTTTCCGCAATTACTAGTTGTGCGTCTCTAGTTCGGCGTAACTCTTCACGTTCTGGCTTCGTGCTGTAGCCTGTAGTTGTCACCTGATCACAACTCTTGCAAAGCCAACTTAGATCATATAAGAAACGATTAAAGTATGAAACTTAAACGCATTTGTTTTTTGACAAGTTAACTTTTTAGAGCAATCTTTATCTTCGTCCATCTGTCTATATGTCACAATTAATTATCTTAACAACCACCACTTCTACCTATTTGAAATTTGTCAGTTTATAATATACATTCTCGTATCAGGTGAAAACATTAAAAAACTATTTTTAATTTCACTGTTAAAAGGAACGACAACCAAAAAGGGTGTAGAGAAAGTACCACAATGAGTTTTCCATTTTTAATAATTCAAATTTAATTTTACCAATAATGGGATTCAATACAAGAATTTTATTTTCTTCGACGTTCTTGTACTGAATTGTTGTGGGTTATTGGCAAAATTAAATTTTATCATAATAATTGAATTTGTATTACACCGACAAGATTAATTCACTGAAGAATTTTTTATTTCAAACCACATACAACTTCTTGATTTACGATGGGAAAGTTAACAATGTTTGTAATAATTTACGCAAATATTTTTAATTATATGTTAAAAAATGAAGATACCTATGACATAGATTTGAAGGAAAAACATACAAACTGTTAATTTTTGTTCTTGAGGCAGAATAGAATTGCAATGTTTATTAATCATATGTATGCCACAAATTCACTTTATTTAATCATTTTCGTCATAAAAGCTATTTAGTTGGATACCCAAAACAAGGAATTTTAAAAATTAAACTAAAAAATTGTCAAAATGTATTACAAATAAGACGTTTATTAAATAAGGTACATCATTCTTAAAAGTATGTGTACTACAAAAACTGGGACAATACAAAATGCACGTACATACTAAATAAGTTGAGAATCACGAAATGCCCTTTGATACCAGAGACAAAGAATTCTATAAAATTCGTTAACTAAACGCAGGAAAATTTCACTTCTTCTTTTTCTTTTTCTCAGTACCTGAGACATTTGAATTGTCATTTTTTCGTTTTTGAGCTGCCTTTGTCGAACTCTGATTGGGAATTCCCGTAACATTGTTAGATTTTGGATTTTTCTTTTTCCTTTCAGCTTTTTCCTTTTCTTCCAACTCCTGGTTTTCCCTTTCTATCAGTGTAATTAATGTGTTACATCTCCTCTGCAGTTCCATTGCAGTACGAGACTTCAAAAACCAATCGAATCTAAACTGAGGCGATGCTCTTACAGCTGCTCTTAGTTCTTCGTAAACGTTTTCACGATCGAATCCAAGTTTATGTAACATACAAACCAAAAATCTATCTTCCTCCTCCATATAATTTTTACCTTTGTTTGTACCATATGCAATCCTGACAACAGATAGAAAAATATTACTTGGAAACTATTAATTAAATTATTATTTTAATTAAGAAGATACTTTTTTGACACAAGGTAATAAAAAACTATGCTTTTTAATTTATAAATGTGTATTTAATAAATACATTTATCAAGTTAAAGTTGATTCAAAACTCAAATCAGTGAAACAACTTTTTTAAATCTACATTATTTCACTAAAGCAAAATGAGATTTAGATATTAGCACATACCTGAGTTGATGAAAGGGGGCTCGATATCTTGCCATTTTTGCGTCCAAAGCGCGTTTTATACTAGCTCTTCGTTGAATCTTCGCTTCTCCCCTTTCTATTTGTGCCATTATACGATCAATGTCGGTAAGTTCGTGACACCGTTCCCAAAATACGGCAGAATATTCCATCACTTCTTCAGGAGACTTTCCTTCCACTTCTTTCGCGATATTTTCGATATCGTCACGTCCATATTTCTCATTCGCCTTTATAAACTGATTAAAATCACGTTTCGTCCAATTAGTAAATCCCTGGGTAAGAAGACTTTCTTTTTCCTGTTGTTCTTCTTCAGTCAGCGGTTCAGATTCGTCAATCTTCCTTTGTTCCTCCTTCTGGTGTTTGCTGGCTTCTGGGCCAAGTTCTGGGTTTTTTGGCACCTTATAACCCAAAGTTTTTCTGTAATAGTATATTTCTTGGTCCAGAAGTTCGAACAGACGGGGAGGAAAAAATTGGAAGTCCTGAACGATGGGCTGCTTTGGAGGTCTGGGTGCTTTAGGAGCTTTAGGTTCTGATACTCGCAATGCCTCACGGAAATAAGCGTCAACGGCATAATTAGCTTTTCTTTCTCGTTTTGGGGGCTCGATCCAATTACCAATGCCAAGAGTTTTCTGTTTTTCACGGTAATCTTCACCTTCGAACTGATAGACGGATTCGGTGGGCGTGTCCACTGTGAAATTGCGTAAAGACGACTCACCAAGCTTCTCGTATTTTTTATTTAACTCTTCCGTCTGAAATGTTAAAACATTTAAATATTTATATTTTTTTATGGTGGTATAAGTTTTCTAACATGGATGATTTTAAAATTATTATTACGACTAAAATTTACCTTAGCTTCCCCTTTTTCTAAAATAACGTCAATATCTTCATCTGTGATTTCAGAGTCTTTAGACGCAAAGACGTGGTTGGCACCGTGCCTAATCATGTTCAACATTTCATCCTTATTCAAAGTACTAGATTTGGAATCAGTTAAACGACCCTGTTGGATAACTAATTTATCTAAACGTAACTTTATTTCTGCTCTTTCCACTATTTTCTCTTCCACAGTATTTTCTGTAATAAATCTGTAAAAAAATATTAAATAAGCTTTTGTGACACGACTATTCATTCTCTAAATTATAATTATAAAAAATTAAACTATTAAGAAAGTTACCTAAACACCCTAACTTGTTTCTTTTGCCCTATTCTGTGAGCCCTATCCATGGCTTGTAAATCCATCTGAGGATTCCAGTCTGAATCATAAATGATTACCACATCTGCAGTAGCCAAATTAATACCAAGACCACCAGCTCTTGTTGATAACATAAAAACGAATTTAGAACTGCCAGGTTCGTTGTATTCGTTGATCTGCCTTTGTCTGTCTTCATGGGGTGTTTGACCATCTAAACGACAATACTACAAATGCAAATATCGTTTAAATTCTAAATTTTTGATTAAACACGTAATAACAAAAATATTTTTTTTTTCTGTTTACCTGGTAACATCTCCACAAACAGTAGTCTTCCAAAATATCCAGCATCCTTGTCATTTGAGAAAAAATAAGCACTCTGGATCCTTGTTCTTGCAATCTAGGCAACAATTTATCCAAAATAACCATTTTACCACAATTATAAACCAAGTGCTCATCTGTAGTATAAGGTGGACCTGGTTCAGCTCCATCAAATAGGTATGGATGATTTGTACATTTTCTAAGCTGCATAAGGATATTTTGCAGTCTCATCTTTTCTATTTTTCCAGCACCGTTTACAACATCAATGTCCTTCATGAGAACCTTGGTATACCATTCTCTTTGCATCTTACTAAGTCCAATGTATACTTTCAGTTCTTTTTTTGGTTTCAGGCGTTTCTCTACCTCAGACTTTAAACGTCTTAATAGGAACGGTTTTAATACTGCGTGCAATCGCTCTATAAGCGCATTGTCTCCAAGACACTGGTTTGTATTAAACCATGCATCAAAATCGTCAGAAGAATTAAATACATCAGGCAGCAAGAAGTTAAGTAGTGACCACAATTCGTGAAGATTGTTTTGAAGTGGTGTACCAGTTAAAAGTAAGCGATTTGTAGTTTTAAATTCTCTTAAGATTTCTGATAGTTTTGATTTTTCATTTTTGATCCTATGAGCCTCATCAATAACCAGATAGCGCCAATTGAACTTTTTGAAAACAGACTTCTCCTTTATAACCATTTCGTAAGATGTCACACAAACATCCCATTCTCCTGGCATCATCACATCCCGAATGAAAGAATTCTGTTGAATGAAATATTTATAAACTTTGGAGTTAACAGCTCAGTATGTAGAGGAATGTAGCGGTATAAATAGAGGAGAGTTGTAAGACCACTACAAATTGATAAAAAATATAAAACACAATTAAAAATAACTTACTCTTGTTTCCTGATCTCCAATAAGACACACTGCTCTTAAGCTAGGGCACCATTTCTGGAACTCTGCCATCCAATTTGCTAGAGTTGATTTGGGTACAACAACAATATGAGGCCCTGGAATGCTCTTATAATGTTTCATAAATCCCAGCAATGATATAGTTTGTAGTGTTTTGCCCAAACCCATCTCATCTGCCAAAATGCCATTAATGCCATTTTCATACAATGAAATCATCCAATTTAAACCACGGATTTGATAGTCACGCATTTCACCATTTTTTATGTAATGAGGTGAACATTCAAAACGAACAGTTGGTTTAGTTTTAACATTTGTCTCTGCCAGTAACTCTTCATCTTCTTCTTGCTCTGTTTTTCGATGACGATGGCTATAAATAAATTAAAGGCACACTATCAACAACAAAAATAGACTTCAAAAATTTAACCTTAAACACATATCATCAAAAATACATAAACTACGTGATAAAAACGGGAAATAAAAAAGTATTACTTACTCCCCAGCTCCTGCAGGCTCTTCTTTGACCTTTTTTGGCCGACCTGTCTTCGGTTTTGCTGTTTTTGTAGGTTGGATCATAAAATGGGAAAATATTTCCGTTTGTTTAAGCAGATAATCAAACCTTTTTCCTCTATCCAATTCCAATTTTGTCTCAAAATCTTCGATTTTACCTCTACTCGAAAGAGTATCAGAGGAAGATGCATTCTGAAAGAAAATAATTTACTTGTAAAATCCCCCTTGCTTAACAATGGTAAATAGACCTAACAAAATTACAAAGATACTTAGTATTACTTACTGAATTTTCGCCTGTATCAGGCGTTTCTTCGGGTTTGGCAGTTTCCATGTTAATTTGTCAATCGTTTTAATTAAACTGTCCTCAAAAATTGTATTAAAATACCTTACATTACACAAAATTTCCACAACAAGATTGACAGTAACATGCCGCTACAGTATAGGCGGGAGAGGATTTAATGATAGGCTGTGTTCTGAAATTTACTTATTCAGAAGTTTATCAAAGTTTTAAAGTTAATTATAATAAACATACTGTTTCTNCAGCAGCCTGTAAACCATCCCCGTTGTGTAACGAGCAATTAACTTTACAATTCAGAAACACTATTTGACGTTTAATTGTTGTCAGTTGTAACAGTGTTATCTGACGTATTCTATAACTCCCTCTAAAAACTAGATAAAATTTAAGCATTTATAGATTTAGATTACCTATCTATGACAATTTCAAGGAACTCACATGTTTATCAAAAACTTAAAAAAAAAAATCAGAATGAGTAGTTTGCTTGGGAACTGTCACTTTACAAGAACACTAGAATAAGTATTCAACTCTCATCAAAGCAAGGGCGTAAACCATTAGATAAGGGTTTACCCCGTGCCATGATCTTAAGTACTGATGATAATTAATCAATTGCAAATCTGCCACTAACAAAACAGTGAACGATTAAGGACTGTTTTGCTATAATTCGAGGCTTAATCTCAAATTATCTGTTGGGCCAAATAACAGAATTCTGTTTCTGGATAGAGACGAAAAATTAGAAGAAGTGGCTGATTTCAGATATCTAGGAAATCAGAGAAGTCAGGACGGAAGGAGTAGTAGCGACATAAAGCAGAGGATGGTGCAAGGTCGTATCGCCTTTAATAAAAAGAAGTTCTATGCTCGCGAACGGTTAATTTAGAAATTCGAAAAAGATTGTTAAAGGTGTATATTTGGAGCGCGGCGAAAAGAAAAGCTTAGAAGCCTTCGAAGTGTGGTGTTGTAGGAGAATGATGAGGATAACATGGGTAGAAAAGGTTAGAAATGAAGAGGTATTAGAAAGAATAGGAGAACAGAGGACTCTATGGAAGTCAATAAAAATAGGCGAGATAGATTGGTAGGACACCTTCTCAGGCATGAAGATCTAGTCAGAGACATATTGGAGGCAGAAACAGGAGTTAGGAGGGGTAGAGGTAGACCTAGGTTAGATTACTATTCGCAAATAGTGGGTTGTTCTGGTTTTAAGGAAATGCGAAGTTTAGCTCAGGATAGGAAAGAGTGGAGGTACGTGTCAAAACAGTCTTAGGACTGACGACGTTATGATGATGATGTATTCAAGTGACTCAATATTTCTATCGCCGCTGTCGATCGACCAAAAGCAGGTCTACCATCGAACTCGGACCAAATTGCTTGACAAACATTTTGCATTTAATCCATATAAATAATAATAGTGTAAATATAAAATACGAAGATTGGAAAAACTTTGGCGGTTGTTGTAGAACAAACAGAATAGCTCAAAACCCCAACGCCAAAGCACGACACTGTAGTTGTCCGAAGCACTTTTCGGTAACAAAGTTACCTTCTTCAGGGACTGAAGTAAACTGATTAATTGTATATAATAATAAAAGTACTTCACCCAGACATTTATCTTCATAATTTTAAAAAAATGAATCAATGAGTTATTTTTATTTTCTATTCCTAATGAACTGCATATTTTATTTATGAATGCTAAATTTGAGCTTAACTTTTGCTTTTAAAAAGTAGACACTATTATTTCATTACAAAGTTCTTAATTTAATTGTAAAATAGTTTTTCTATTACGGTAGTATGAAAGGTAAATATTTTGCATATAAGAGTAAGAGCTGGTTAATACTTTTGAAGTTTCTATTCCAATGGCGTAACAACAATAATATCAAAAGAACTTTTTGCGCATTTAATCAATATTGACTGCATTTAAGTAACACTTTTTAATGCAATAACTTTCAAACAGTTTTATATAATTTTTAATAGTTTACTCTTCATTTAATAGTTCTTTATTCCAAACCAGTCAATAATAAAATATATACATAAATCTAATTTCAAAAGAAAGTTCGACAGATACAGCCTTAACTGTGCGCTTAAAAATTGAAAGAAACTAAAGTTCGCAATACAATTTTCTTCAGTTTTATACTTTTTATATGGTGGTTTTCATATTTCAATACTTTTTAAATATAAATTTAACAACATTTTGTTGTCATAAATGAAATAAATTAAATAGATACTTACAGTAAAACAGCAACACCAAGATCAAGTTTGCAGACCAATTTCGAGCAACACACTAAAAAACGGAAATGCGATACCGAAACGCGCACTAACGAAATTTTTACTTTAAAAAAATGATTATTTACATTAAATTAAAAATGCAATGTTGTAAACTGCTCTAAGTGACGAAACCACGAGTATTTCTTTGGTACATAAAATACTTAGTTTCGCGCATACGCAATAGCGTCGCTTCGGCTTTGCACCACAAGTAACGCTTGCTTTGAATAACAATCTATTTACGGTTTATTAGACCGACTTTTGAACTACAACATTAAAAACACTTGTATGAACATAATGCACACCCTTAAGTCTTTTTTGTACATTTTTATTCACTATTTTCCGCAATTACTAGTTGTGCGTCTCTAGTTCGGCGTAACTCTTCACGTTCTGGCTTCGTGCTGTAGCCTGTAGTTGTCACCTGATCACAACTCTTGCAAAGCCAACTTAGATCATATAAGAAACGATTAAAGTATGAAACTTAAACGCATTTGTTTTTTGACAAGTTAACTTTTTAGAGCAATCTTTATCTTCGTCCATCTGTCTATATGTCACAATTAATTATCTTAACAACCACCACTTCTACCTATTTGAAATTTGTCAGTTTATAATATACATTCTCGTATCAGGTGAAAACATTAAAAAACTATTTTTAATTTCACTGTTAAAAGGAACGACAACCAAAAAGGGTGTAGAGAAAGTACCACAATGAGTTTTCCATTTTTAATAATTCAAATTTAATTTTACCAATAATGGGATTCAATACAAGAATTTTATTTTCTTCGACGTTCTTGTACTGAATTGTTGTGGGTTATTGGCAAAATTAAATTTTATCATAATAATTGAATTTGTATTACACCGACAAGATTAATTCACTGAAGAATTTTTTATTTCAAACCACATACAACTTCTTGATTTACGATGGGAAAGTTAACAATGTTTGTAATAATTTACGCAAATATTTTTAATTATATGTTAAAAAATGAAGATACCTATGACATAGATTTGAAGGAAAAACATACAAACTGTTAATTTTTGTTCTTGAGGCAGAATAGAATTGCAATGTTTATATAGACCGTTATTTAAAATATATTGTTTTTTCCAGGGTAGAACTATTTTTGTCGTTTTCCTAGGCATATTTTCAATTTAAGTT